GAAAGCTTATTTTCAAGTCTCGTTATTTTCATTTGTTTGTCTATAATTCTTATTTTTGTTGGTATTTAGAATTTTAGCATTTAGTATAAGAGACAACTAGCCTAATATAATTTCTTATTATTATATGTTCGAGTAATTCTATCTATGCAGATGACTTATGTAACAGTAGATATACTCACGTAAATGTGAAAGAAACCAAATCAAATCCAATTTCGAATTGGGTTTATATTAGGCACACAAAGACATTGAAAGTCAACGTCATTAGACCTAATTGGACTTGGATTTTGCAAGCTGTTTACATTACTCTGTTTCTAAACAAAAAAAAAAAAAGAGGAGAGATGTTACACTATGCTAACCTGTTCCTCCGACCAAAGGCCTAGAACTCTACTCTCGTATCAAAAAGCTTGATCTTTGATAATGTCAAACAAAGTCAAAGATCTAGAGGTCGTGTTGCAGCTACTCTGCTAACTTGTAACACGAGGTCACATGTTGCAGCCACATTTGCAGAAACCACCGAAAATTCATGGCCTTCAACTTGGTCAACTAGTGATTTGTATCTATCCACAATTCCTGCTCAAGAATTTGAAATAAGAAACTGAGATTTTTCTTTAAAAAAGATTTTGAGAGATAGAGAACAAAATTTCCAACCTTTGCATCACCATCGAATAGATTGGGCCTCGTAAGCTTAGCATAAACATCTTTCTAAATCATTTTCCTCAGAGTAATTTCATCAAACACCTTCTCTGCGATCACCCGATAATTCGAAGGCAACTTCGATTCCCAAATAATATCTGCAGAGGAAGCTCGTCGGAATACCCTGTTGAGAAGAGCAAGCCGGAAAATCTCCGGTGGATCAAACCGCATCATAATCAACGCTACACAATTCTCCGGTAAATCAACCAATCTGGATTTCCTCGAGTAACCTTCACCGTTCCGATCAAATTCCGGTAACCCACCTGAGATATTCGCTCCCACAATCACACCAAGAAATTGATAAAGACCCTTTTCCGGTAATCAAACCAAAACCTTAAATTCGAATCTCGATTGCATAGCTGCTGAGAATCGAACAAAAAACAAAAAAGGAAGCTTTTTTATTTGTCTTGGAAAATTATTGTTCTTCTACGGTTATGAACATACAGAGAATACAACTTTATAGAGAAAAGATTTCTACTTTAACCGTATGTTTTTTTTGGAACTATTTACGATGCATTTAAACGGACTGGGTTTTTATCATTGGTCTTGGCCGCCGTGGCTTCTCGTCCGTCGTTGCTAGGCAAAAGAACTGGAGCTTCATGGAATGCCTCCAAATCAAGCGGAATGTGTAGTGAACATGTTGAATGAGTCGCTTGAGAAGTCTACCAAGCTTTTTCAGGTGAATGCTTGTGTTCTTCATAGGCTAATGTGTTTAGAGTTTTATTATATTAGTGACAAGTTGAATCCATCTATTGTGGTATCGATACCAGGGTTGTCTCTCGCCGCTCGTATTTACTTATGAAGTTATGTTTGATGTTTCTCTTTTGTGTTTTTTTTTGTACGAACCAAAAACCTTTTTTGTTTGAACTTATGTTTTGAAATTTGTGAATCTTGGGTAAAAAATTATATATGTTATAATAACATTCGGTAGTAAATGTAAAAGTGTTTTGGGTTTAGACATTTTAAATGTAAAAGTGTAGGTTACAACACAAGGCTTAATGCTTTTATCCTGATTTCCGAAATTTGATTGATTTGATTTACAAGTTACAACACAAGGCTTAATGCTTTTTTTCCTAATTCTTAAATGTGCCTCATGATAAAAGAGAATCAAGTATTATTACTATCAAACGAACCAATGTTTATAAGAAACAAAGAGCAATTACAAGAGAATCCCTTTAACTAGCCAACAATGAGCAATTACAAGAGACACAATCCTCCGTGCACACGACCACACCGTGTTATATGGATTCATCCAATGTAAGCGTGCCATGTATATGCTCTAATTTCATTTGGCCATAATAAATGGTTTGCTTTGGACCGGTTTTCAAAACCGATGAATCACTTAAACCAAAAGTCAAATCGACGATACGACGACGTTTTAGGTTCTTAAACCCCATTTGTTTCTCGCTCAACTGTAAGTTCATCGACAGAGGTTAAAAGAGCAAATTTTTCATTTTTTAAACCTTCGAAGCTTTTTGATTCATCGGGAATCTTATCTGAAGAATTGTATCTCTTTTTTTGCTTCGTCGGAGATTTTTTCCGAAGAATTGTGAAGCTTTTTTGCTGGTTTTTTTCTAGGAACTAGCTACAATTGATTGATATGTGTTCTGTGAATAGAAATGTTAAACATTTTTGGGTTCTGGATCTTTATAAGAATGCTTATTGAGGATGAAGTTTCGTACTTTATTGTGTAGTTGTAATCTTCATGTTTTGTTTTCTACATTACACTGGTTTGGTTTATTTCTCCATTGTTGTAGATGATAAGGTTACTGTACTAGAAGCAGAGAAACAGGCGTTTGAAAATTCTCCTGAAGCTCAAGCCATGAGAGAAGCTCTTAATCCATGGAGAAACAAGGATGCAGAAACGAGCAAGAGTCCATAGGTTAATGATGAAACTAGTCTCGATAAGTTCCTTTCACTCACTCTCTCAAACTTGCAAAATGCTGCTTCAGTTCCTTTTGTTTGAGATTTGGGATATTCGTTTTAGTGTTTTCTCAAATGCTAAATGTAAACATCTTTGGAGGTACTTACATGTTACGAAGATAGATATATCAATTGGCCAAACAATACAAAATGCCTTCCATTTTTGTTTG